TTGTTTTAATATAGTTTATCCAGACTAAAACCATTAGAACATTTCTTAAAATTAATGGAGTTTATTTTGGTGTGATAGTACCCTAAGATAGTAATTCTTAACTGGAGTGATTTTGCCTCACAGGAGACAGTTGGTAATATGGAGACAATTTGGTAATATGGAGACAATTTTTGACTGTCACTATTTGGAAGGGTTACTCTAGGTATCTTGCAGGTAGAAGTCAGGGATGCTACTAAACATCCTATCATGCTCAGGACAGGTGCTACAAAAAAAGCAAAATCAGTGAGAGTAACCTTTTTACTCTCTATACTATTATTCTTTGGATGACAGAGTTTATGGTAATCTACTGAAATGGAATAAATTTCTGAAAAGAGAAATAGTAAAAATAATTAGGATGAAAAAATGTGAGCCAGAAATCTTGCATCACCATTTGTGATCTGCAGATGACAAAGAAACAAATGAGGTAGAAACTTGAAGCCCACAGCAAAGGTTTCAGTCTTTTTTCTGAGGACAATGAGAAATCCCTGAAAGTTTTAAGACAGTGACATGATTAGATTTGCATTTTGAAAAGATCACTCTGGATGAAAAACCATTGGGGATAAAAAGACATTTGAAATCTATTGCACTCAGCACGTGCTTGACAGGAATTGTTACAAGCATTTGATTGTTCTCTTCCTCGTTCTTATGATCTCTCTCCAACATTGTTCTCTACACTAACACAATTCCATTACTTTGTTCAGGGTCTAGTTAAATATATTCACCATGTTTACTTTAAAATTTACAATCCATATTCATCATGTTCCCACTTCAAATGATTTCTGCATTTGCAAGATATGTACAATGTGATAAAATTAATTTAATTCTCTGCTTTATATATTATTTTATCAAAGCAAACTTTGCTTCTTAAAGACAAGGGCGTGCATATGGGTTTTAGAACAAAAATGATTGTTGTAGATAAATTATTTTTCAGTGAATGGTTCCTCCTACTATCAACAGCTGACTTCTCAAGTTCATAAATTGTATCTTTTACAAGCATTGTAACAGTAAAATAATCTGAATATAAAGAAAGACATTGCAAATGTTTATTTATAGCAGGTGTGTAATCAGCCAGTGTAATCAGTAGATACGTAAAATTGGCACTGTCTAGTCGTAGTCTCTAACCTTTGCATAACATTTTGTGTAAAAGGACACTTTGTGTATGACTACTTATAAAACCTGTCTCAAGCATTTAAAAAGGTTTTATCTTGTATATAATGTTTTTGAGGAAAAAAGTTCTAATGACTACACTTAAATTGAAAAATGCAATAAATATTTCTAATATTAACAAACTTAGAATTCAAATTCAATTAAATATTAAGAGGATACGTTAAATTTCACCTGCTTATATTTAAATAGTATTAAAATCAATTAAATAACCAAATATAGACATACATTTTTATGAGGATTTTTACATTATAGAAATTGTGATTTAAAAAATATTCTGAACAATTTAATACATAGAGTCTGACTTTTTAGGAATTTCTAAATAATGTGAGTCAAAATGCAATTTTTTTTTCACACAGGGTTTAACAGTCTTCTATTTCATATCAAAGACAGGAAGCCGAGAATAAAAAGGGATACTTTCTTCCTACCGTGGTACAAAAGATGTGCCTAAACAACGGGAAATGTATAAGAAAGTAAATTAAATTATGGCCAGAGCTTTAAGAAATCACCTTAGCAGGCTTAATTTTTCCTGGAACTACGCATGTTTAATTTTTAATCTCTTAATTATATATACACATTTTAAACATGTAGTAAATAAAAGTTGTTCCTTTTCAGAAAATGATATACAAATATGCATTATTTGAGATCAAATAAGATAATACAGGTAAAGTACTAATTCAGTACATGATCTAATCAACATTAATTTCCTTCTCACTCTTAAGGAGAATGCTTAGATACGTTGTGGTACCTGATACTAACAATAATTTCATATAACAATGGCCTATTATTTCATCCATAAAAATGCACTTCATATTAAGGACTTGCTGGGGTTTGTTGTGGCCGCAGATTAGAAAGGGTTTAATTGGGAATCGAAAAACTGAAGAAGAAAGTGATTAATTTACTTGAACCCAGGTTTTTCCCAAATCATCAAAAACAAAGGTACAGTACTTAAAGCTAGAAATGTATATACATCCTAGAAACTAACGATCTTTGGGACCTGATGGAGGAACTAAGTTCTATGGGGATCAATTGGAAGACATGTAGTTATCTATGGGAAGACCTATGCTTCTATGGGAAGACAACCAGAAGGCAAACCTGAGTTTCTAGCAACACAGTTTTTAAAAAGGTGGATATATTCAGGCAGTTGTCCTGAAAAGCAAAGTTGTTAGCTAAATTGTAATGCACTTGCTTTGTATGAAAAGCCATTCAGCCTGGACAGAAGTAGTGAAAGATTAGATTTGAACTAAAGGAATAAAGCCTTGGACTTGGTTTCAGGCACAAAGTGTGATTATAGGTGATTAGGATATATGCTCTAAAGATTTACCAGAGGAAAAAACTAAGAAAGGATCCAAGAGGAATGGCTGAGAATGAGATATAGTATCTTAGAAGAGGCACAATTTAACTTTGTGCTTCTCAAAGCAAAGCAATTTGGTGTCATCATTTTTTTCCTTGGGTTTGTGCAGGTAAGGCACTACATTTTTAGTGTGGTTATTTATCTGTGTCCATTGCATTCTTCTCAAAAAGAGAGCAATCAACTGAGTAGCGACAGGAAACAGGACTCCAGAAAATTAGCTGTAGCTTGTTAAAAAGTGAATCAGACTTTTAATCGATCGTAAACTGATAATTGATTTTTCAAAACAATAAAAATAATTAAATGCATTTCCTCAAGTATTTGTTAGTTTCATAACAATCAGGATACAGATAGTAAATAGAGCTTTCCTTGAAATCTGCTGGGATATGGCCCTGAAATAAGACTTTCAACTTCAAATGGGAAACAAAAATGTCAGAAAATTCTCATGTCAAAGTAAGCAAGCAGAATTTGGATACTAAGAAAAAAAAAAAAAAGACAGGGGGAAAATATATCAATGTCTCTTGAAAAGCACTTCCTTTCTTTACAATATAAAAGGTTGGATGGGACCAATGTAAATAAAAATTATATTTCTATCTGATAGTGATTTTTTTGTAGTTTAATAGCTGGCACCTAGGCGAAACAACATTTGCTTTTTTCTTTCAAGATTATTACCTCTGACTTCTCCTGTATTTTAATGAATTCCATACCTTCCCAAATAGTTTTAATTGTGCTATATTATTTGATAATATTCACAATATTGTTAACACTCTTCTAGCTTTGTTTCTCTGTACACTGAACTTGCTTCTTTTGTATACTTCTTCAGCTTTATTATGTTTGTGGTCATGACACAGGTAAGATTATAAATTAAACTATGTAATCCAGATGCTAATAAGGGCTTTGAAAAAACACAGAGTAATGGAATAGACAGTGAGCAAAGGAGGAAGATGACTATTCTATTTTAGATAGGCTGGTCAGGAAACTCCTTTCACTGGAAGTAAATTTTGAGCACAGCACATTCAATAAAGCAGGGAGCAAATAATTAGCAAAGACCTGTCATCTGAGCAGAGGGAATAGCAAATAAAAAGCCTCTGAAGTAGGAACAATCTTGGAATGTCTGAGGCATTATCAAACCAGTCAGAATTACTAGAGTGGTTCAAGAAGGCAGAGGGAACAAGGAGATAGGATTGAAGATGTGGCAGTGCAGGGCATTGTAAGTATGGTATAGAATGTGAATCTTATTCTGTATGAGAAAGGCATTAGGGGTTTAAAAGCAGGTTAAGGACATAATCTGATCTATGCTTTTAAAAGACACTCTAGGAAGAGTAAAAAGAAGCGGACAAACTAGAGAGTTATTTCAGTGCCCCTGAGATACAATCATGGCATGTATGAGATGGCCTTCAGCACAGATTTAAAAGGAGACTGGGTTTGGAATGTATTTGCAATGTATTGACACGTAAACTTGATAATGGATTAATTTGGAGTGTGTGTGTGTTGGGGCGGAGTTAAGAATCAAAGTTGTTTTTTCTTTGAAAAACTGGATAAAATGGGAGTTCCCTTTACTATAATGAAAAAGCTTGGGTATGGAGCAGGTTGAGGGTGTGGAAAATCATGGATTTTTTTCTAGGCATATGAAGCTGAAATGCCTTTTGAGTATCCATGAGAATATGATGTACAATGAATTTGATATATGAATCTAGACAGAATAAGAAATATAAATTGAGGAATCATTAATGTATTAATTGTAATTTTTTTCCTAAGTTAGACAAACATCTAAATAATTATCTAAATTTTATTTTTATCTACACACTGATTATAAAATATTTTTTCTAAGTCTTTTAATTTTGAGACTGCACTGTTTTTCTTTCTTTGAAAAAAACAATACTATTTCTTGAACATTAGACAGAAATCTGATTATTATTCAAGATTATATAGGCATAATATACAAAATTCTTAACTAGATTTTTTAAAATGTGAATTATATTCTTTCTTTAGTTCTAAAAATTTCTTTTGCTATTTTCTAACCCCTCTCCCGCCCCCCCAAAAAAAGGAAATGAGGAAAATGCATTAGGCCCTCCCATCAAATGCCCTAAGTATAACAAGCACAGTTATTTTTTGCATAGGATAGTGTTTCCTGGAAGATTGATGCTATGTCAATTGAAATAAAGTTAAACATAATGTATATTTATTATTTGCCTGGCTCTGTTAGAATTGGTGGAGCTAATAAGTATTACAAAGTAGTCTTGATCTCAAGCTTATAAATTTTTAGAGAAAATAAGATATCTATATATAAAACAATATGAGGACAAAAAATATAAATTATAAATATACAAGCACTCTAACTGGTTAAAGAAGAGATAGGACCAACAGTGGTGCTGGCTTTTGAGAAATAAAACAATTTCCAGGTATATGAACAATAGCATGAGACCCATTTCTGAGCATGACTTACCAAGTGGTTGGCCTGCGATGACTCTAGCATTTTCTCCAGCCACTGCAGCTCTTGCGTGTCGCTCACTCATGTACTGTACAAATGCATACCCTTTGTGAACGGAGCATCCAACTATTTTTCCATACTTTGAAAAAATGGCTTCAATGTCAACTTTCTTGACAATTGCTGTATTTAGATTGCCAATGAAAACACGGGAGTTGATGGACTTGGGGTCATTCTTATTGGTGACATTGCTGGTCTGTGTTTTGCCAGTCATGATTGGCTCTCCTTGTTTTAATCCTTAAACAAACAAACAAAACAAATAATCAAAAGGTAAATCATTAGATTGAATCGATATCACCGGCATTTTAACAGTTTTTCAATATTACACTCAGGAAACCTCCAATCCCTAAGTATTACCGATTTCTTGAGAAGAAAATTAATATATTTAGTAATATAAAACGTAAACATTGCATTGCTAAATACAGTAGAAAAAACTTAGAATCACTTAACATATAGTTATAAAAATTCTTGATTTGTTTATTCAAAATTCAACTCTGAATAATGACTGAACATTTTGCAGTTGCTTTTATATTAAATCTATCTATTTTGCAAAAGAAACTTTGAGGAAAATCTGCTTTTTCTTATCAACAACAACAAAAAATCCAACATGGCTAAGGTCAGATGACAGATGGAATATAGAAAAGTAACCACCATTTTCAGATGTTTGAGTACATGCATTATTTCTACATTTCTATAACGTGTAGACACATTATCTATTTCAATATCAGAACCCTTCTATCGGAAACTAACAAATTGTTCCATTAAAGGCTGTGGAAGAGAAAAAAAAAATGGTGTTAGAAATTTGATTAGGATGCTTAACATAAGAAAACCAGAATTTAAAAAATAAAAGACTTAGCCAGAATTAATACTATATATGCTATTTATTTGAACCAATATCACTATCACATGTCAGTTTCATAAAAACACAAAACAAAACATATGAGCCAGTGTTCATCAATGATCAGCAAATTAGTAGATTAGGTAACTTGAAATTTTATTCTTAACCTCATTTTCTAATTTACTTAACTAAAGCTTCCTTTGTTGACTAACAATTGCTAGTATTTTAAAAAATCATTTTGTGAACTTGTAAGAATATTTGTGTTTAATTAAACTCAACAAAACTTTTATTTCTAAGTATTCCAGCACAAACAGATTTATTTTAAGGCCTTGAAAATCCCTCCTTCCTTCCCTCCCTCCCCCCAACTCCCTTCTTCCCTTCCTTCCTTTCCCTCTTTCACAACATTTAGTAACAACCTATTTTTGGTCATGCATTATCTATAGTGCCTATTAATTTATAGATACTATTATGGCTAAACTAAAATTTCAACAAGGTTACATTCTCTGACATTGATGATCATTGTTGAACATTAGCTAATTGATACCATTCATCAATGACAACTGTATTTTTATATGAAGGCTCTCGTAAAATATTATGGCTATAAAAATAAGTGCATCTGATTTTTAAGAATCATTTAAAATGACATTTCTAAATTAAGCATTAAGGTGATGAAGTCTTTAAGGCATGTAAATTGGATATGCTTAAAAATGTACTTATTATGCATTTAAAGCAGGTACTCCTGAAATCAAGAGCAACCAAGTAACATAAAATGTTTCAAATTAAGTTGCTCAACATTACATCTGGGATTTTTAAAGCTTTACTTCATATTGGACAGTCAACATTATAAATATCTCCTTATAATGAAGGTCAGCTTCAAAAATAAAACATTTAGTTATTTACGTAAAAAGAGTAAGACACCATTAGAAACAAAGATTATAACACTGCCTTGTATTGATTCAGATTAGCTACATTTAAGTGCTTCCTTTATGAATTATTCAGAGTAGTGTTGAAGAAAGAAAAGTTTATATATATATATATATTTTTTTTTAAATATTGCAATTCGAGCTATTGCATATCTCAAGTCAAATGCTCTGAGAATTAATTGAAACAAGAAAAATCAGGGTTGGTAATCTAGAGTCAGTTTCCTTTCTTACCATTCGAAGCTAACATCAGTAATACAATTCATAGAAAGCATACTATTTTGTTTGTTCTCTCATGTGGCACACATTTTTATAAACACCATATAGTTGTTTTCAATTCTTATGGTTGACATTTTATTTCCTGGACAGAAATACATTGATTAAAATGCAAACACAAGAATTGTTAGATTAGATTGGACCTGCAGTTTACAGAGCCCAGTGGTCTGCATTGATAGTAGCACTTCGACAAATTTGAGGGTACAGCTGTACTCTGATTCCTCATCATGAATGTCAACATGCTATCTTTCATCCGCATCATTCACTCTATGTGGATGAAACTCATACCTGTACCTCCAAACTGCCAATGTGTAATTCTAATTAATAATTCTTACTTACCGTAAAAATCTATACATATCTATGTATCTAATTTTTTTTCACAAACACTGACTTGGCAGTTTCAATCAGTGTTTACAAGAGTAAGTTTTGTTGTAGTATTGTATTCTGTCATTCCAACATTCTCTAAAAATTAGGCAATAATTCATAGTTTGATAGCTTTTCTATTACATAAATTTTTAAATCAGCTGAAGAAAGACTTCCACTTTCTGCCATGATAGAGTAACAGTGACTAAGTTAATCCTCCTGACCCAAAGAAATAGAAAACCAGGGATATATGGATGAAGCAACTGTTTTGCAGACATTAAACCACAGGCAATGCAGAACTATCACATCTGAGAAAGAAGAGACAAAGAAAGTATAATGTAGGAGAGCCGAGATTTCTGTCTGGAAAACATATTTCAGGTCAAGAGCAGTCAGTGGGATGGGGAGGATATTGTAAACTGAGACTGTGACCCTGTTGAGTTGAGGAGATACAGATCAGAGTTGAGAGCATCTGGGGCAGTTAGAATTGGTGGGACAGGTTTCTCAAGACAAGAGAGCTATGCAGAAAAAACACTCTAGAAATCTGCTTTAAAATCCTTTGAACCTATGCTGATTTCTAAGTCATGTATGCAAAGAGTACAATTTCATGAGGCTGGTCAAAAAGTTATTGCAAAGCTGAGAACTGAATGATTCCAAGAACTGCAATAGGCCAAGAAACATACAAGTTCCTACCAGCAACAGTGGAGAGTCCAAATTCACTATCCAGAGAATTAAATGTAGGCATCAGAAGGATGGGCCTTAGTAATGGGGATTAACGATTCCTATAGGTATAGGAATTCTGTGTCTACCCGAGTAAAACTTGAAAACAAGGCTTAAGATGATCAAACTAAACCAGAACAACCGAAATGTCTATCAAAGAAAAGTATAACACTTTTCTAAAAACAGTAACAAGGCCAACTGTGGTGATTCACGCCTTTAAAACCAGCACTTTGGGAGGCAGAGGGCTTCAGGTCAGGAGTTTGAGACCAGCCTGGCCAACACGGTGAAGCTCCATCTCTACTAAAAATACAAAAAAAGAAAAAAAATGCCAGGCATAATGGTGCACACCTGTAATCTAAGCTACTTGGAAGGATGAGGCAGGAGAATCTCTTGAAGTTGGGAGGTGGAGGTTGCAGTCAGCCAAGAGGAAAAAAAAAATAGAACTCAGACATTCAATCACATAAAATACACCATTTCCCCCATCCAATCAAAAGTTCCTACAGATCTTATGAATCAAAGTATGACCCATGACTAGAAGATAAATTAAAGATATAAAAAAATGAAACTTTTAAAGATACAAACTATAATATCTAAAATTAAAAAAAATCAATGAATGGTGATAAAACCATAGAACAAATTTGTGAATTTGAAGTTGAAGAAATAGAGAATACATAAAACTTAGTATAGAGATAAAACACTGAAACAATACACAGAGCCTCAGTAAGTTGATATTTAACACCGTCAAGCTGTTAAACATATATAAATCTGGAGTGCCAGAGGAGCTAGTAGAAAAATATTCAAGAAACTTAATGGTCAAAATATTCCAAATTTATTAAAAATGATAATCCCATGGATCCAAGAATATCAATGAACCTCAAGCAGAAAATATATATCTACACACCAGACACATAATAATAAAATTACTGAAAACCAGTGATAAAAATTAGGGAGCTGTCAGGCTTTGGAAAAAACATTTTGACACAAAAAGGGTTTATAACAGTTAAAGAAATGTCACAACTGAAAAACAAATGACAAGGGAAAATGAATTTTTCAGTGCAAACAAACTGTCTCTTTGTTTTTAATTTAGAAGTTTGGATGGAGCTCATGTAAAGTGTCTATGAAAGCTGCTGTAAAATAAAAGACAAACTGTAAACTACTGTTGTTATTGTTCCAAAGAATTTTCTATGATGATGGAGAACTTTCCATATCTACAATATCCAAAAATTTAGTCAATAACCACATGTGACTTTTGAACCCTTGAAATATGGCCAGTATGATTAAGAAACTGCATTTTTAACTTTACTTAATTAAAATTGAGGCCACACTTTAATGAATTGCTCTACCCAAAAGGTTTACAGGGCTCTTGCCTTCCAAACATATAGAATAAAAGTACATCAGAAATAAATGTAGCTATTTATGTTTCATTTAAATCTAAAGAATGAGTATGTTTTTGGTCCTGAAAACTTATGAAAGATATGATAGTGTCAGCTCTATTTCAGAAGAATAAAAAGTTCAAGTATCTGCCATATGATAACTAATTTAAAAGATTAAGTGTTTTTATTCTGGAAATATCAGACTGAGGTGGTAAATTGTCTCTAAAATTATAAAGAATGTGATCAGAATAGCCTTTTTATTTTGCATTTGAGATTTTTATCTTTGAATCCATATATGATATATTTACTATAAATTAAAGGCAGCTCAAAAATGTGCTTTAGATAAAATGATTTTTAGCAAACACTACCATTCTGCTATTTTAGTGGTCTTGAATTTCCATCTAAATTTTAAAGTCATTTAGACATTTATATTGAAAAATAATTAAAAAATCAACAACAGGAATAACAAAAAATATCCAGGTGATATGGTTTGGCTCTGTGTCCCCACCCAAATCTCACCTTGAATTGTAATAATCCCTGTGCCTTGTGGGAAGGATTCAGTGAGAGGCAACTGAATTATGGGGGTGGATTTTTTTCTCATGCTGTTCTCATGAGAGTGAATAAGTCTCATAAGATCTGATGGTTTTAGTTCCCCTGAACGTATCTTGTTTCCTGCTTCCATGTAAGATGTGCCTTAGCTCTTCCTTCACCTTCCGCCATGATTGTGAGTCCTCTCCAGCCATGTGGAAC